GGTCTACCCCAATGGGATCAGTGGGGCTGGACCCAGGGGTTGACCCCAGCGTCTGAGGGCTCCCCTCACTCGTGTACCCTCCCACACACCTGTACCCCCCCCACAGCCGTACACGCCCTGACACGCGTGTCCCCCAGGTGCGGTACCCGGACCGGATCACGCTGATCCGGGGCAACCACGAGAGCCGCCAGATCACGCAGGTCTACGGCTTCTACGACGAGTGCCTGCGCAAGTACGGCTCCGTCACCGTGTGGCGCTACTGCACCGAGATAAAAACTACCTCAGCCTCTCCGCCATCATCGACGGCAAGGTGCGGCGTGCGACACGCTAAGGACACGCTAAGGACCCGCTAAGGACCCGGGAAGCGGGGCTGGTGGGGTTGGGGTTGCTCAGTGTGGGTTTGGAGGTGGGGTGGGATGGGCTGTGAGGACACTGGGGTGGCTTAGGGCGTGCTAAGGACACGTTGAGGGTATAGCACATGCTAAGAACATGCTAGAACATGCTAAGGACATGCTAAGCACACGTAAAGCCCATGCAAAGGGGCAGGATGGCGTCTGGGGGGTCCATTTTGGGGCTGTTTCCCCCCTTGGGGTCCCTCCAGCTTCACTGGAGACCCCCCATGCGCCGCACATGCTAAGGACACGCTAAGCACACGCTAAGGACACACTAAGCCCACACAGGGGTGCAAGATAGCACTTGAGGGGTCCATTTTGGGGCTGTTTTGCCCCCTTGGGGTCCCTCCAGCTTCACCGGGGACCCCCCATGCATCACACACGCTAAGCACATGCTAAGGTCACGCTAAGGACATGCTAAGGACACACTAAGCCCATACAGAGGGGCAGGATGGCGTCTGAGGGGTCCATTTTGGGGCTGTTTTTCCCCCCTTGGGGTCCCTCCAGCTTTGCCAGGGTGGCCCCAGGCGCCGCACACGCTAAGCACACACTAAGCACACGCGTGTCCCGCAGATCTTCTGCGTGCACGGGGGCCTGTCGCCCTCCATCCAGACCCTGGACCAGATCCGCACCATCGACCGCAAGCAGGAGGTGCCCCACGACGGCCCCATGTGCGACCTCCTCTGGTCCGACCCCGAGGGTAGGCCCCGCACACGCGTGACCGCGCGTGTTCCACCCCCACGGGGCCGGCAACCCCCACGTGGGGTCTTGTGTGGGTCAGAAGTTCCCCTACTTGTAACCCAGGTG